CCCCTCTATAAATGGAGTTGGAGTCTCTCACTACCTGTTTGCCAGTGGGACCGGGGGACCCTGCATGAAGGTGAATGTAAAAGTTAAGATACAGTATCTGTACCCAGAGAATATTGAATAAATCAAACTGTGTCGGTGGCGGACTGTGTGTACAAGTACAGCAGAGCAAGATTTAATGGTTCACCTGTGTGAGTGTGAGTGCTAGCTTAACATGCTACCATGCTGGCTAATGCCATAGCCATGCTAATGCTAACACTTATGATACTGAGGTGGTGCAGCCAGTGGTGTTGACAAAGCACACGACAAGTAACTGCACTTCTGTTTCCTGGCTTGAGATGAAGTCGGATAAAACCTTTGGGATCATTTTCATTTAACTCAAATATAAATAACTTTCTAATCAGAGAGATTCAATCATCGTCTTCCTTCTTCAGAGTAAATGGATGGAATTCACTTGTAGTCCACAGAGATCCATCCTCACAGAACCCTCCACTGCTCCCAAGCCATTATACAACATGGCCGCTCTGCTCCAGCAGCACCACTACTGTAACATCCTGTCCTGGTCGCTCGGTTTACTGTACCACCTTCATGCATATTTTACTCTCTACTGCTCTTTCTTTCTTTTTTCTTTCTTTCTCAGCCGCTCGCTTCTCTCCACAGAGGCGACAGCGTGATGTCATCCTCCTGCGGAGAAGCTGTTGGAACCTCAGAGTCCTGCTGCGGTCGGACGAACCTCGTCGAAACTCCACCTGCAAACTGTGACGTAAGAACATCACACCTCCAGGAAACTGCTGAGGCAACAGTTACTTCAGTTTGTATAGATTACTCTGATAATTCACTGATTTAGCACTTAGCATTTCATATTTTTTCCTATTTCATGAAAGATTTCTTGGGTTTTCATAATTTGAATCCAAACTCGTGGTCTTAAGTTGGAAATCCTCGTCTGAGAGCTTGTGAGATACATTCAGTCATTTTGCAGCTATAAACTTTAAAAGTCTTCTTCTGTAATATTTACTCATGGTTCTGCAAATGTCAGTACATCAGTATTTATATAACTTTGAGGCTTCCAGGAACAGAACGGGTCTTCAGGGGCTTCATTTGTACAAGTTGTGAGAAATCCTCAGTTTCTTCACTCGATGCAAACAGAAGTGATGGTTACATGTCATTTGAGATTATTTAGCTTTTAAGATGCTGCAGGTTTTTCCACTTTTTAAGTTCCAGACATCATCGACCATCAACACTGCATGAAAATCCTCTGGTGGAACACGGACGACTTTATCGTCTACATTCTCATCACTCGTGCTCAAGTCGAGCAGCAGGACGGTGGGCCGCAGTCTGTTTCCTCTCAGATGGCAAAGAGACAAGAGGCGAATGCCTTTTCCAAACCTGCAGGCAGGTAAAGTGCTGCGCATCCGTCCCCGAGCAAACCAACTAACCTTTTCTTCCAGCCTCGTGTCTTTAATTTGTACTGGCAGACAATGAAATATTTACAAGGAACCCTACAGGCAATTACATTAAAAGTGTGCGGTTAGACACTGCCTTCCCATCGGCGGGCCCCCTCGGTGAGAAGCTGAGACCGATTTGGTGAATGGTCGCAAAGTTTACAACGTCAGATTTTACTCACTATCAATAATTCAGAGCTGGAAGAAGCAGAGGGGGGGGGGAGGAAAAGGAGGACAGGAGTGAACGGAAAACAGGGGAAGGAGAGGTGGAGGAAGCGAGGGCAGGAGAAGGGAGCGCCGGCGTGAGGAGGTGTGTGTTGAGAATGTCGGAGGAAGGCTGCACTTCAGTGTCCATTTGCTAAATGTGGCAGAAACGCGCAGTGCGGCGGCCATGTTGTGTTCGTTGAAAGCTTCTCCGGACGTTCGATCCCTCAGAGTCCGTCCTGCTTTCTAAACACACGTCGCTGGACTTAAGCTACACACACACGTGTATATTATTCTATGTCTAACGTACACACACCACTTATCTGACAAATACACTGCAACAATTCTTTGTGTGTGTTTGCGACGAGGACAACCACGGTTGGTTTTTAGCTCCGAACAGAGAAATGTAGAAGCGGCTCTGATGGATAAATGTCCATTATTCAACAACACAAACTAAGCAGTAATGTGACATGTGTATTAACTAATATCCCGATCCTCAATGAAGTATTTTAAAGAGTTTGTTCCATGTCAAAATCTAGTGGCAGCAAAATTATACACGTGAACGATGCCTGAAATGCTTTTGCTTCCAAACGAGGTGGTTCTCTTCAAGTGTAAATTATGATGTAATTAAACATTATCACCAGGATGTGTTTCTATAATTGCCTCCACCATGGAGAGACATGCTTTCACCTCTGTCGTCCTCTCAGCAGGACTTTGTGAAAACTGCCCAACGGATTTCCATGAAACCTGGTGAAGGACGGTGCAAGAGCCAGGAATACACATAAATATAAAATCGTTATAGACATGGAGACGTCCCATAACTGGACTCCACATAAAGGCCAAGATGGTTTTCAACACTTTGCAGCGTTATGAGCTTTGTTCAAACCAGAAATGAACATTTTTGATATAAATGTGTAAATAATGTGATATTAAAACACGCATTACTGCATTTCTCCAAAGAACAGGGTCACTGAATGAGGGAATATCTTTTGGAAAAATAAAATCTAATTGTGTGTAATCTTCGTTAATGTTGCACCAGGTAATTCACAAAACTGTTAAACTTCTCTGATGTGTTGAAAAGTCCAGAGTTAACCTTTACGCTTCCTTTCCCTCTGCCTGTTTCTCTCTAATCTCTTCTTCCTGAACTCGTCCTCCACCCTTTCATCCCTCCCTCCCCAGTTTGTCTGTTCGGTGTCGCCTTCCCAGAGGAGCGTCCTGCCTGCCAGCGTCCCAGTGGAGACGGCTGATGTATATTTGATGAGCCGGAGCTGGGGACCCTCTGGAGGGCCGCGACCACAGCAGGACAATGAGCCTCGCTCAGGTTTCCTGCTGCTCTTTTTTTTTGTTGGCAGAGTCGGTGAGTCGAGGGCTGAAGTTTCAGCCGGAGCAGCAGACGCAGAGTTTCAGGGGTGAGACTCAACACAGTTAAAACTTGACATTGGCAGGATTGAATTGTTGTTTCTGTCTGATTCCTGGTGTAAATATATTAGTACACAAAACATACGTATTATGTACACAGTACAGAGTACAACATAGTATGCAGTCAAGAGGTGAGGTTCTTGGAGACGAGCAGAGAGAGTTCAGCCTGGTGGATGAAGCTGCTTCAGGTGGAACCAGCACGGAGGCTCTGGAATCATGGGGGGGGGGGGGGGATCCTCTGGTTCACGATGCGCTGGAGGCTCCTGCGGTCGGCGGCTGCTAAACCACACAGCGATGCAGCCGGTCAGGATGCTCTCGACGGCGCCTCGGTAGAAGGCACTCATGATGGTGATGGTGCTGCTGAGCTTCCTTGGCCAGTGATGATGTTGATGACTTGTTCCATGATGGTCAGCTGATGAGACCCACCACAGTCGTGTCATCAGCAAATCTGATGAATCGTCATCCTAATGTTGATGGACAGCAGAAGAGAACATGAGCAGGTCTATTACATTTAATTATTTTTTACTTATTATTATTATTACACATGTAGCAACAGCCACATAATCACAAAGAAAGAGGGATTATCAAACCTGGAGCCCCTTGACCCCATCATGCACTCTGTGACCCCTCCCTCCTCCCCTAGGGGGCACCCTCAGGTGATTATCGCTATAATTATTCCATCATCGTCTGTCCGTCTGTGTGTGTGTGTGTGTGTGTGTGTGTGTGTCTGTGTGTGTCTGTCTGTGTGTGTCTGTCTGTGTGTGTGTGTTTGTGTGTGGGATGGGGGCATCCTCACTACTGCCACAAAGTAAATGAAGCATGATTAATTAATGTATTAATTGCTGAGAAAGTGAATGGGGTTCAGGCAGAGGAATTCCTACGCATTTTACCATGTGCCATCAATTAATAATCTGTGTGTGTGTGAGTGTGTGTGTGAGAGTGTGTGTGTGTGTGAGTGTGTGTGTGAGAGTGTGTGTGTGTGAGTGTGTGTGAGTGAGTGAGAGAGCAGGATCATAATCAAGCGCCTGTAATTTGCAGCAGAGCAGAGGGAGCTGCTCCTCATCACAGAGGATGAAGGAAACCAATTAATCAATTAAAGTAAAAATCAAAATCAACCAATCAATTGATTACTTCCTGTCTGTGTCCAATCATATCTGCTGTTTGTAGCCATGGTGGAACACTCACATTGTAAACACGCAGATATGAATCCACATGTCGGAGTGAGCCGGCCTCGGTGTGAGTATCAAGCTGAACACCAACACACATGGAGGATGTTTGCTGTGATAACCTGCCTGAGCTGCATCACTGCAACACTCTAAAAAACACCTGATGTTCCACTTCCTGTCTGAGGTTCATCAAGAAAAACGAAACCACCTAATGTGAATGTGAAACATTATGCATCTGCTCTAAAGTGTTTAAAGGCCCAAGTCAATCATTTCCCTCAGACGGCAGCTGAAGTTTACATTTGATTATTTTCATGCGTGAAAAAAATCTAATTATTCACATGAGTATTACATCTTTTTGGAGAAATGTTTATTTATTTATTTTTGCATAATTACAGGATAATTAAACACTTTTATTCCAGAAGCTTGTTACGTCAGGTTTAACTGAGATTATTCATTTCTTGAATCTTTCCTGTCTCAGGTTCACTGGATCTCGAGCCACTCTCTTCACGCACTGTTGGTTTCTCACAAATGTCAACGCTCATTTTTTAACAGTGCATCCTTCCTTCCTCGTTGCCTCCGCCACGCACAGCCACGCACGCTTAGAGGGCGTGTCTACACCCGTCTAGCCCTGCGTGATTGGCGCAGGCGTCTCCACGGAGGGAGTGAGGCTGGACCAATGAGGAGGAGCCTGCGCGGCACTGGTCCAATATAGGCGCTGGAGGCGAGGAGCATCTTTATGATAGGAGTCATTTGTCACAGGGAGAAGGAGACAGGAGATCTACGGGAGCTCAGGAGTTACCTCTCCTCCTTTTTCTCTGTTTTTTAAACCCGAACCTGTTTGCGCCTGATTCCCCAACGACTTCTTGTTCATCCGAACCGTCTGCGTCTGGTTTTTCTTCTCCGAGCTGTTTCTTTGTAGAACTCAACCAACACGGAATCGAACAAGGAAGACGATCAACGACCTTCCCTCACTTCTGCAATCATGATGTCGATGAACAGCAAACAGCCTTTCAGTATGCACCCGATGCTGCACGAACCCAAGTACGCTCCTCTGCACTCCAGCTCGGAGGCCATCCGCAGGGCCTGTCTGCCCACACCGTCGGTGAGTCGAAAAAAAAATTAAATGTAACATCGCACTGCATCTCTGACTCCTGATATTCACTGAGAAACTTCTTCATCTCCAAATAAAGAGTTCAGAGGCTACATGGCAAGTTGTAAAAAGCACTTTTAAATTGAAATCCACACAAGAAAGCTCGTAAAATATCGGATAAGAGAGTTTGAACTATTACGCACAGACGCACCCAGGAATCACTGACTGTGAATGAATTGTGCCGTGAGGCGTTTCGATTAAAATATTTGTTTCTGCAAAAAAAAACCCTCTGTTAAATAATCTCTAAAATGATAAAAAATATTATTTTTGCCACTTCAGGAAAAACAAATCATTGGATCAGCAGGAAAAGTTTGGACGTTGGAACAAAAATACAATGTGTAGCGATTAAAAAACGACGGGGGAAGATTAAATAAAGAACAAACCGTGTAAAACATATGAGATGAAACCGGATGGATCAGAAAACACCAGCAGGGAAAACAGAGAGTGAGACAATCTGCTAGTTTTGGACAGAACTCTGCGTAAAGACGCACAAAACGCATCCTCGTCACCGAAAAGCCAAATCCTGTTATTGAGCCAAGATGTTTGAAAAGATGAAGGAGGGAGAGAAGCTGCGTGGACTCTCTGAACGCGTGTTCTCTCATATTGTCCCATTCATATTCTAACTCACACCCGTCTCATTTCATTGTCCGCAGAAATTATTCAGGAGATCGTAAATATTAATTTTAAATGAATATCCATACACGCTGACACACTCGAGGCGTCGGACGCTTCCGGTGATGTCCAGGTTGCATCGGATTGAATTGGGGTTAAATGTGGGAGATTTCATATTTGGTTTATTTTTAATATTTTGCGTGAAATAAAATTGTAATTATGACATTGTGGTGATAAAAATCTACAGTAATTACACATCGAAAACATCCCCCCACTGTTGATCTGCTTCATTCTCCAGTTTTAAAAGTTTCAGTATCAGAGCGTCTCACAAATAAAATGTCGAATTAGACGAAGCTTTAAAAAGATCGTGCACAATAATACAATTTACTAATAATGGTGATACCTGGTGATATTTATCATACACAAAATATTATCATTATAAACACAAGGAAACTGAAATTATAATTAGTAAAATATATTTTTAACACAAATGTCTGCAGGGAAATTAAAAAAGAATTGAACTTGACAATGATCCGTGCGTAAAAGGAAGACTTTGTTTTATAGACGGTTTAAATTTGATGGTTGTATTAATGGTCACGGATGAGTTCTGACTCTGACTCTGCTCCAGCTTCAGGGCAACATATTCGCCGGCTTCGATGAGACTTTGCTGCAGAGAGCCGAGGCTCTGGCCGCTGTGGACATCGTGGCCCAGAAGAGTCACCCGTTCAAACCCGACGCGACCTACCACACCATGACCACCATGACCAGTATGACCTGCACCCCGACCTCCTCCTCCGCGCACCTGCACCACCCGTCGGTGCTCACCTCCCACCACCACCCGGTGCACCACCAGCCGTCGCAGGGTCTGGAGGGCGACCTGCTGGAGCACCTCTCCCTGGGAGGCATGGCCGGTTCGGACGTGTGCTCCTCGGCCTCGCACAACGCCCACGCCGCCCACATGTCGGCCATCAACCACATGCAGCACCATCACCACCAACAGTCCATGAACATGCACCCGCACGGGCTCAGCTCCCACGGCTCCCTCGGGGGCTCCGGCGGGGACGCGGAGCCCGATCCCCGGGAGCTGGAGTCGTTCGCCGAGAGGTTCAAACAAAGGCGGATCAAACTCGGAGTGACCCAGGCGGACGTGGGCTCGGCCCTGGCCAACCTTAAGATCCCCGGGGTGGGGTGTCTGAGCCAGAGCACCATCTGCAGGTTCGAGTCCCTGACCCTGTCACACAACAACATGGTGGCGCTGAAGCCGATCCTGGAGGCCTGGCTGGAGGAGGCGGAGCGGGCGCAGAGGGAGAAGATGTCCAAGCCGGAGATCTTCAACGGGGGCGACAAGAAGCGGAAACGCACGTCCATCGCGGCCCCGGAGAAGCGCTCCCTGGAGGCGTACTTCGCCGTGCAGCCGAGGCCCTCGTCGGAGAAGATCGCCGCGATCGCCGAGAAATTGGACCTGAAAAAGAACGTGGTCCGGGTTTGGTTTTGTAATCAGAGGCAGAAGCAGAAACGAATGAAGTTTTCTGCGACGCACTAAGATGAGCACAGAGACAAACCAGAGACAAACCAGAGACAAACCAGAGACAAACCAGAGACAAGCTGCTGCTGTCAGAAAAAAACAAGGTACACCGTTGTGCCTTTTCAGCAGAGGCCTCACACGTTCGAATCCCAGAGGGGCCCATGGGTGCGCACTTAAAATAAACACGAGTCATTTAATCCAGTTTAAATCCAGATTGGTCTCAGATACAGTTTCTCGATTTACTCCTCAAAAGAAAAAGCATCCAACACGTGAGATGCAGCATCACCTCATCGGCTGATTTATTATTGTGTTAAAGATAAAAATGATATTTCCGGACTCACAATGGACAGAATGTCTCGTTGTGTCTCCACAGTGTTTGTCCACTTTGTGAAGGAGCAGCTTTCACAGCCGGGGTTTTTTTTTTTTTTTTTTTGCACCAGTGCCTGATTTTCTTCCAGTTGTGGAAAAGATTTCACCGAAAGTATTCAACTTCTTCAGGCCGCAGAACATTTCTTCTTCTGTGTCTGAGGACGTGGGACACCTGACCACCACCCTCCACTCGGCGTGTCCCCGAGCTGAGCTCCAGCCTCATGCAGCGAAGCAACAAAACCACTGGATTCAACGGTGTACCTGGTTTTTTTTTTTTTTTTTGAATTGATAAATCTGACAGAGGAGACACAGACTCAACATCTGGAGGAACAGTGATGCTCCGTTCATTCATATGGCAATTATTGTACAAATACATGAAGAATAACAATGGAGGGGAACCGAGGGATGACTGTGATGATCCTCTTTAGCTTTTTTATATTTATCATTGTACATATCTGTGAATACGTGGCACCTCGTGTGTGGAAAAGCTCATTGAGATGTATTGAAAATGTTCTGCTGTCTTTTCTCCAGCTGTTCGTTTGTTCCGCGGGACCGATGGAGACACAACACACTCAAACAACAACACAACAAAAAAAAAAAAGAGAAGAAGAAGTTGTGTGGCTGAATGACATGAGGCACAAACATTCAACCGTGATCCATTGCATGGTTTACTCGTTAGAGGGGGAGAGAGAGGGGAGGTGAGGAGTGGGGGAGGAGTGTGGGGGGGGTCGTTTCTCCTCCGAGGTGAATGCATTGCAATAAGACGAAAACACAAAACACACGCACGAACACACACATTCACACGGTGTAGCTGTGTGTCTACCTCATTACCCAAGTGTTGGCACGTTCATGGTGATTTTAAAACACACACGCACACACACACCCCACACACACACACACGCTGTAAAAGACCAGTAGCATCTTTTTATTTCTTGGTTTGTTTTGTTTCCTTTTTGCTTCTCTCCGGTTTATTGGTGAATTAGGCCTTTAGAAGAACCACTGATGTGTAAACCTGTTGTATGTTCACTGCAATGATGCTTTGACAATCAAATTATTATTATTATTATTATTATTAGGTTGTTGATCTCCCCCTCTGTGTCCTCATGAAAACCAGTTGTTGCATTTTATTATCATTATTATAATAATATGAATTATTATAATCATCACTGACACCTTTGTGGAGTGCACTTTGTAGATATTCCGATGAAGGGAAATAGTCGGCCTTATTTATACATATTTTTTCACCACTTCTGAGAGTTTAAGTTAAGTTCTGTTATGTTTTTTGGTATTTTCTTTATTATGCCCTTATTTATTTATTATCTAATTTATTTTGGAGAAGAAGGAAAAAAAAAAGGAGAAATAATATTTCATTTGTGAAAGTGTGCTTTAAATGTGTCTGTGTAAGCGACAGAAGCTGAAATAAACCGTGCACGTTTTACTTCATCCTCTGAAGGACTCTCTTTAAACTATTTAAACTTTACTGTGACACCACACAGTGTGAAATCAGCATGAAGTGTGCATTTCAATAAACACCCCACAGATTTCCATCCGCACCAAGCAGCAGAGGTGTTAATGCTCTGCAGATTCAAAGGAGACGGATTTAATGGAACAAGTGCAATGTGAGCTGTGAGTGTGTCTTGGATACAGTGGGACGGGGTGAGCAGGGGTGAGCAGGGGTGAGGAGGGGGGAGCAGCTGCTGCTCTGAAACAGGAGAAGCCTGGAGGTGAAGGAGCTCCGCCTGAAAGCTGCTCTCCAGCCCTGATGAATAGGACTTGATACTTGAGGGACTCTAATATTGATCACCGCTGCCTGGTGTGTGAAGCCTGGACACACGGAGGGAGGCCTCGGATCTGAAGCTCTGTGTAGTTTCATCAGAGGAAGACCCCGGCACCACCAGCCCGTTTCATAAAGTTAGACAAACTTGAAAAGTGAAAAAGAAAAAGAGTTAATTAGCAATAAAAAGAAATGAAGATGGAAAATGAACCATGTTGGACTCTGGTTACATCAGCATCCTCTGTCCCTGATGGTTCCAGCTCAAGAAACAAGTTTCAAACCTGAGGGAAAAGATTTTAAGAGAGAACAGAAAGAGAGAGCAGGGCCGCAGCTAAGACTTTTAGAAACACCCCGGGTGTGGGTCCCCTGGTGCTCCGTGCAACACCCAGACAGAAATGTCAACATGAATTATTCCTCAGTCGCTGGTTATCATCGCTGTAACTCCAGTTTTTACAAAACGAACATCTAAATGAAATATAAGAGATTTTCCATGCGGCCAGGAAGAAGAAAAAAAAAGTTCAAAATTAAACTTAACGATTTTTAGCGACACTGGAACCAACTCGTAAAATAAGAGCTTTTGTCCATTTACTGAATTTAATGTAAATAAAGTAAAATCACTCTTTCAACAGGTTTCACTCTGTTACCAACAACAAACTGTGGATTGTTGAGGTCAAGATACTTTTTAAATGAATATTAATACACAGGAAACCTTGAGTATAATTAAGAAAATTGAATCGAACTTGAATCTAAATGTTTTTTTGCCCTGAACAGTTAATCAAAGTTAAACATGACAACATGAGCGTATCTACATTTCACATCTGCTTCAAATTCACTCATTCATTTATGAATCGTCGGTCAAGCTTCAGCTCAGAGGACATTATGTCACCTACTGAACTTGAAAATGCAAAGTTCAACTCTGCTGCAACGAATAACCCACAGATATATATTTCCACCTTTATTCTGAAGGTATTAAATATACTAGAATAAAATAAAAATAGTTTTTCAAGTAACTCAAAGATGCTTTATGACAAATCAATGCTGAAGAAAATATTGAAATTAATCTACATGATGTAAGTTTTAGAAAATTTTAAATTATAGTAAACACAAACCATGAATGTACAAAAGGAACCTTCACAATAAGAGCCTTAAAGAGGCAAAAACGAAAACTCTGATATTATCAAAACTCAAATCTGACTCTAAAGTGGAAGGTTTCATTTTCAAACCTCAACATGTTTCATTAAGTCTTGAAGTTAAACATTAACATCGACAGCCTTCTGTCTTTGTGTACTTCGTGTACTTCATGTACATCTTTATATTTATATTTCTCAGCTCATCAGGTGGTTCGGGCCCATGAACTCCTTATTAATGAATAATAAATATCAGCTGTTATGATACTATTGATTTCCGCCTGTGTTTGTTAAGAAGCTGCTTTTCTCTGTCGTACAACAGCAGCTCGGCCCCGATCCCCTCGGAGAAACACGATAAAGGCCCTTTAGAGCAGCGGGTCCCAACGTGGGGCCCGGGGACCAATGTGGGGCCTCGATGGAGGATCCAGGAGGTCGAGGGCAAAAGGAAAAAAATGAGCTTCTCACATTTTATAATGATGTTTGCAGATGAGAGGATGTGGAAATAACAGGAGAGGTCCACGTTTGTCTGTTGTGACTTTTAGATTTAGAGCAAATGAATAATAATAATAATTTAAGTTTCCTTCGTTAAGAGCTTTAAACACAGATTCAATGTGGAATTATATTAATTTAATTTACAGAACCTACCGTAAATGTTTTTCATTAAATCATATATACTCATAAATATATATATATATATACGTTTTTAAATATTTTCAAATACTCTCATTACATCATTCAATAAAGAAAAACTAGACAAAATAAGATAAAAACTAATCTACATGTGAAATTTAAAGAAGTCATTAATATTGAAAATACAATTAAATGAGATTAAAATATTTTTACATACAAGTTCTGCCGATATGTTTTCTCAAAAGTGTTTTAATTCAAATATCAGGTTTATGAAATATATTTTATTATTATATTTGATCCTATAATTGAGGTTTTGCCTCGTGTTGAATGTGTTTCACTTAAACATTCTTTATATTTTAAGTTGAGGGGAGGAAAACAGAAATGAGCATTGGTCAATATTTACAGATATAATTTTTTGTGCCCAGCAGACAGTGGCTGGCATGTTGGTCCATAACAAAGAATGTAGAACATGGCTTCATCAAAGTTTAATCATGGAGCTGCTCTCCAGTTGAAGCCTATAAATTATATATAATTGACCGTGTAATCAATGTGAACAGTGTATCAAGTTTTCCTGAGACAAAGTGACGGAATGCAGATTTTACACAGAGCGAAGGAAAAACACCGGAGCGGATCCCAGAAGACTTTGGACGAGCGGAGGGGGTGAACCCTGGACAGGTCGCCATGGCTGACGCCTGCAGACGAGTCGCCAATGAACCTAACCCCAGTCTGCGTGTCGTTGCATTGTGGGAAAGAATTCCCCACAGAACCTGGGATTCAAACCAAGAACCTCCTTGTGAGGCACACGACGCAGCACCTGCACACTTTGACACATCTGGTTTAATAATTGAGGATTACTCGATTGGTCGGCGTGTTTTCCCGCAGACTCCGCCCCTGCGTGGCTCTTGTTGTTGTTGTGCACGAGCAGATAAAAGAGCTTCTCCCCCGACGACCGTGGTTAATTGTTTGATTTAAATAATTAAGAAATGGGAGGCCTCGTTTTCCTCCGCTGTGTTTTCTCTCTGTGTTGGAGACAAACAAGCTGAAATCTGACTGAAGGACCGAACACATCAGTCTGTGGTTGTCTCTTCTTCAAAAGACGAACTGACATGATGGACGACGTCCTCTGTTCAGGACCAAGAGATTATTGTCTGTCTTCAGGGACAAATGAGTGGCAGAGTGGAGTCACTCAAGTGGACAGACAGTCTTTAGTTTAGTTTACTTTAGTTCAGTAAACTGAGATGACTTGAAGTTCACAGTTATTGTTGTTGTTAGGAGACGAGGACCGTTGTGACGCTTCGGTGCGAGAGCTTCATCGGGCGAATTGTTCCTGACTGAAAGAATCCACCTTCAGGACGTGAATGGTTCATCACCTCCACAAACAGCAGATCTGTATTTGTATCATGTTATTTAAAGTAAACTTGAAATGAGAGATTCTGAAGAAACAGAAGCAGATTGTTAAACAGCTGCAGCAGGAAACTGAAACGTTCAGAATATTGAAATAATCCTCAAACAAAGGCTCCTCCTCATGAAACGGATAAAGAACTTGGATTGGATTCAACTTTACTGTCATTGCAGTACAAGTACCACGCCAATGAAGTACAGTTTGTACAACCAGACGTGCAAACACGATATTAACTAGAGATAAACTCAGCACCAGCTGCACAGTGGAGAGTTAACACACACAGAAACAAGTGATGAGACAAACACACAGAGACATTTATATTCTACTGATTTCAATGGACCGGATATTTAAAGATGGACGACATGACAGTGAAGCCAAAACCCCTCGATCCCCCTCTAGTGGCTGGCTGCAGTACAGCTGCCTCCTCCATGTTAACAGATGGGACATGGGGCCAAAACTGACAAAATCATGTTTTTATCTGTATCTTTACTGTTTGTAAAACACTTTGAGCTGTTTGTTTGTGAGGTGCTATACAAATAAAGTTTATTTTAAATTGAATATATAAAAATGGCCCGAGACGTCCTGATTGACAGCTGAGACTGACGCGCCCGCAGGACCTCGCTGCAGATTCTGTCTCCAGGTGACGTTGGAAGCGTAAGATGACGGCGCTCGAGATATCTCGACTTTATTTTTGCACAACAGGAAGAAGACTGGAGATGAATCACTGGTGAGTCCAGGT